CGGAACCCCCCCCCCCGCTCCTTAGGCCGCCCCCACCCACCAGTCGCAGCCAGCAGGGTACCCTGCGGCCGCCCACAGAAACGGTGCGGCGTGCGGCCCTCTGGCCATCCGCAGAGGGCCCTCTGGCCTGCGCTGGCTCCTCTCCAGGCCGGGTTTTTTTTGTTTTTTTTTGCCTCCCTGCCTTTTCTGGGGGCACAGCCCGCGTGGCGTGCCGTGGCAGGAGGAGACCGGGGAGAGGCTGGAAGAGGGCCCCCCCACATCCTTTGCCTGCCTCCTCTTCTTCCTCCAGAGCATCCTGGAGGGGCTGCAGGTGGAGCCCGCCTACAACCCCCTGAGCGTGACCAGCCGCCTGTATGAGGTGCTGAGGAGCAGCCTGGGCCAGCCCCCGGCCTCCAGGGCACAGCGTGCGGCCGAGCGGCACCTGCCCCGCCAGGTACGGGCGGGCGGGGGGGAGAGACATAGCCCCACGGCTCAAGGGGAGAGAAAGGGGCGCCTGCCACCCCGTGGAATAGGGCCTCACTCAGCAAAGCAGGCGCAGCTCCTCTTTTTAAAGTATCTGGCCTGCAGCTGGTGTTCCCCTCCTCTTGCACCCCCGCCGCTCCCTGCCGCCCAGGGATGAGCTGGGATGGGGGGGTGGAGGCTACCCGCAGCCCTCCAACTGACCGCCTCTCTGCCTTCCTCCCGTCCACAGCCATCCAGCCGGCAGCCCCAGACAAAGGCCAGGGCTGCTGTGGCCCCCCTGCGCATGGCCCCCCTGCCGGCCAGCCCGGGACCCCTCGCTCTTTGCTCCAGAGAGGAAGAGGACTTCACCGACTCCCCGTAGAACCAGCCTCTTCTGTCCCGGTGGGAAAGTTCCACTGGACCACCACCACCACCATGAAGCCCCTCAGAGCCTGCTACCCTGGCACCCTTCTAGAACCCTCCTCCGCTGCCCCAAGCCCTTCCTCCCCACATCACGCCCTCCCACAGCCTGCAGGACCTCCTGTCCCCTGCGCCCCTCCCTCCAGCCCTCACTTCAGGCCCTGCCCTGCCCCTCTCGACTTGCCCGCTTCCATCACTGACCCCTGCTGCCCAGGCGGCCATCCGAGGCCCGGAGAGCCTACAGGCCCCCCCAACACATGACAGACGGCTTCTGCTCCAGCCATCTATCCAGCCTGGAGTGCGCGCACGAGCACCACGCATGCCCCTTTCAGCTGGGAGCTCCCAGCACACACGGGCAGCTTGACTGGGGCACGCTGGTGGGCCCCAGAGCAACGTATCCCGAAGCCAGGGTGGCCCCCGCCCGCCAGCATGAACCGCGGGAGCTTTCCCTGCTTCTCCCCCTCCCCCCCCAAGAACACACACAGTTTTTTCTCCCCCTGC